AAGCAGAAAGGATCTTTTCTCAAGAGAACTACTGGACTAGCTGTTTTCTTCAGTTCACCTCAAACTAATGACATGACCTTTGATTCAGAGCTACCACTTTGTCTTGCCACTGAACTCAAAGATTCAGTATCTCCATAGGCAGTGCCAACAGATTTTGTCTTCTTGTATGGCAAATTATAAATTGTCACAGCTCAAGATGAAACAAGTGCAAGCCATTAGGAGTTCACATTTAAACAACAATAGCAGCCTCTTCAATATCAATATAAACCAAAATGTAACAGAGCAACTTTATATAGAAAACCAATTGATAGATAAGGGTAATGTAGGTGCATCCATCATCACATTGTATTGCATGGAGTTATGAAAAATGCATGGTAAATGTATACACATGGTGAACGTGCTTAGTACATTTCAGTTTTGGCTGAAGAAACAGCAAAAAAGAAATATGTCAGTAATTCTTTAACTATAGAAGGATTGATAGGGCTGGAATGTTTTTTGGTAGGTGGCCAATACAAACCAGCTATGGCCCATTCTGTGCAGAACAAGTGTAGTGTGAGTTCTACTGAGTCTATCAAATGCATTTTGAACTTTGCTAGGGAGTGGTGGAAGTGTGTTTTATCAGCTCCTCGCATGTGGTTCTACTTTCTATGGATGCAAGAGTTTGGCCACATACACGGGTTATTAGCACAGAAACACAAGGGGTCCAAACTTACTCATCTTGCTACGCCATCTCTGTTAGCAGCAGCAGCAACTTCTGAATCATCAATATGAAACAAAAAAAGCTGCTTAGACAGTTTACCACAACCTTTCTTTGTATAAAAGATGCTGAATTTTGTTATTTCTAATGGCCTTGCATATGGACTCCTGTGGTTTTCATTATTTCGGCAGAGGTGTGTGAAGGGTTCACTGCCAGTTTTACGTAAGGTTTACTTATATCAACCTATTTACATTAAAGGTGGCATAACTGATGTGTCACAGTGGTACCTGAAAATTACGTGAGGCCTTATAACAGCACAAATTTGTGAGAGCAGATCAACCACAAAAGCCCCAGACTGAATTTACATATGAATGACCCTTGTGGATGTATTTTTCATATTTTTGCATTACAAACACCCAGAAGCATGTTAAGTACACGCATTTTGCTAGGGCAGAGCTTTATACCTTTGAGATGAGCACTAACAAAACAAACTATACAATCCACAGCCTGCTCCCTTGAGTTGTGCCCTCCCTGGCTCCCACCATCCACACAGCAGCTTTGGGCAGTCAGGAGAGGACTGTGCACAAAACAAAGTTTATGCAGCAGTAAGATGTTCCAGGTTTCAGTTTCAAGTTTCATGACTGATGTTATGGAAAAGGCAATACCTCGTATTTTTAAAACAGCTGGAGGATTCTTCCTCCAGTAAACGACTATTGAGAGCTGCTCTGTATTCAAATCCTACAATACAGCTGCAGAAGCACCAGCCTCTTTTAGCTCTACTGTACAGCTGGGGAAAAATTGAGGAAGTGTAGGAGCTTTGTTGAGGAAATGGATTTAGGTACTGAGATTTCAGGCACAGATAAAGAAATGGAAGACTATGAGCCTGAACACCGTAAGGTAAGTTAGGTAGAAGGTAGAGGCATGGTTCCTGTGAAGCTCATGTTTATTGAGGAAAAAAACATGCAGTTAGGAAACAGAACACATTTCAAAATAGAGGTCAGTTTGGAAAACTTTGAGGGGGCAAAAATTAGGTACTTCCCCCTCAGTAGAACAACTATATGGTGAATATATGTATTATGTATGAAGTTGCTCACACTTGCTAAGATCTTTATCACCATTTTTGCATCATCTGGAGTACGGTGTCCAGTTCTGGGTTCCTCAGTACAAGAGAGTCAAGGAGCTAATGGAGAGGGTCCAGCAGAGAGCCACAAAGATGATTAGGGGTGTGGAGCATCTCTCTTACGAGAGACTGAGAGCTGGGCATGTTCAGCCTGGAAAAGACTGAGAGGGGATCTTGTAAATGCATATAAATATCTCAAAGGCAGCTGCCAAGCTGATAGTGCCAGCCTCTTTCCAGTGGTGGCCACCAACAGGACAAGGAGCAACGCCCATAAACTAAAACACAAGAAGCTCCATCTCAAAATGAGGAGGAACTTCTTTACATTGAGGGTGGCAGAGCACTGGAACAGGTTTCCCACCGAGGTCGTGAACTCTCCCTCTCTGCTGACATTCAAAACCCACTCAGATGCATTCCAGGTTAACCTTCTCTGGCGGACTCTGCCTTTGCGGGGGGTTGGACTAGACGATCTTCAGAGGTCCCTCCAAACCCCGTCAATTCAGTGATTCTGTGATTTTTTTTTTCAGCCTGATGAGGGCTGAGGGAGAATAGCCCTTTGGGACCCAGTCCAGGCAGCGGTACTAGGAGGTTTGGGGAGCGCCAGGGCAGGCAGCTGCTGTTCCGAGGACAAC